AATACAGATTACCAACTTATACACAAGAGAGGGAAACGCAGTTCTGTAAATCCCAGGGTTGTCTTTTTTTCTGAAAAACAGATGTAGCAAACTTAAAAATGTTACTGATTCTTTCTCATACCACTCTCCCTTAAAAAAACAAAACACTGAAATCCACAATTAAAGGTTTATAGTTAATTTCCACAAGTATTCAGAGGTTGAAAGATAGATTTAATCTATTTACTGCCCCTAAAACTGCTCAGACTTCAAATGTGTTCTCCTGAAATCTTAAGAACCACTGATGGGGTACAAACACCTGGCTTCCTGCCGTCTTTAAACAGACTCTGTCACTGAGTCAAAAGTCAATAGATTCATAATGATTTCTGTCTCCCTTGTCCCCAAGTATTTTGGCACATTTCAGTCCTTCTCACATTGTTCTGTCTGCTGCCACCCCAATCTGTATATCCAACTCGGACAACTCAAGCATCTTCCATGAAAAACTAGCAAGCTTTATCACTGCCTTAATTAGACTGGAAGATGAATTTTAAACATCTGGGAAAAAAAGAAGAAGATCCAAGGTCTGGGTCTGTGAGTCAAAATGAGGGAAGAAAGGACTAACGTTTCTTGTCAGCATCTGGCCCCGTAAGTGAACAAATATTTATGGCTATTTACTACTTTTAATGACATCATGCTGGATACCGCCAGCAACAAAAATGAAACCTAAAGACTGTGCTTTCAGCTCAGTGGGCTCACAGTTGAACCAGAGACATCAGATGTAATGACATTGCAAGCGATTTAGCAAAGTAAGTTCATCTGCGATGAGCCATTGCATACACTCTTCCCATCATTAAGAACCCTCTGAATGACAGAGATTGTGAATGATCCCCTAAGACTGCAGATCCCCCTTCCGCTACAGACACAGAACCCCGACTGGATGTGGACACACACATGGCTGGGTCAGCCCACCTAGAGCTGGCATCTCAGAGCCTGGGTCCCTGACTGCCGTGACCACTGGCCTGCACGCACGCGTGGAACCTAGGAAAATGGTGCTGATGAATCTATTTGCAGGGCAGGAATGGAGACACAGACATAGGGAGCCGGCATGCAGACACAGTGGAGGAAGGAGGGGGCCGAACAACTTAGGAGAATGGCAGCCCAGTGCTCTGTGACCCCCGAAGGGCAGGTGAGGGTCCCGAGGGAGGAGATCCACGGTACTTATGGCTGATTCATGCTGTAGGGCAGAAAGCAACACACCGTTGCGAGGCAGCTTCTACAAACAGTAAATGCTGCAGGGAGAAAAGGGAACCCTCCTCCACTGCTGGTGGGAATGTAAACTGATGCAGCCATTATGGAGAACAGTATGGAGACTGTCTAAAAAAAGCTAGGAATAAAGCTACCATATGACCCAGCAACCCCACCACTGGGGATATACCCTGAGGAAACCACAATTCTAAAAGACACATATACCCCCAATGTTCATTGCAGCACTATTTACAATAGCCAGAAAATGAAGCAACCTAGATGTCCATCGACAGATAAATGGATAAAGAAGATGTGGCACACATATACAATGGAATATTACTCAGCCATAAAAGAATACATTTGAGTCAGTTCTATACATGGAATCTAGAAAAATGGTACTGATGAACCAATTTTAAGGGAAGGAACAGAGACACAGACATAGTGAATGAACTTGTAGACACAGTGCGGGAGGAAGATAGTGGGATGAATGGAGAAAGTAGCATCAACATATATACACTATCATGTCTAAAATAGATAGCTGGTGAAAAGTTGCTAAATAACACAGGGAGCCCAGCCTGGCACTCTCTGATGACCTAGGGGGTGGGGTAGGGGAGGGGAGGGAGGCTCAAAAGGTGGGGGGAATACATGTATCGTTATGGTTGATTGTTATATGGCAGAAGCCAATACAACATTGTAAAAAAAATTTTTAATAAAAAACAATAAAATAGGAAATAACAGAAAAATTTTTAAATAAATAAAAATCTGTTTTTAAGAACTCTACACATTGCTTATTTTTTTAATAGTCTTATTTTAAGATGTTTTATCTAAGATTAAAAAGAGTCAGCTCATGGTAATACCTGCAGCAGCACATTACTTAGTTCAGTCGCTCAGTCGTGTCCAGCTCTTCGCGACCTCATGGACTACAGTATGTCAGGCTGCCCTGTCCATCACCAACTCCCGGAGCTTGCTCAAACTCATGTCCATTTAGTTGGTGATGCAATCCAACCATCTCGGTAATGTGCAGAAGCACTTTACTTCTTTGTATTTGCTCTACATTTAAACTTGAGCACAGAGCTCACTCCAGATTTTTAACTCTCAAAACCCAACAAATAATAGAATGTGGACCTTGGTCTAGTTTAACATCATATTAATGGAAAAAAGCTTCACTTTACTAAGAATTTATTTCTTTGTCTCTCCCACTCTCACCAACCCAAGGTTATTACTTTGGTTCACCTAACGCCAAGTCACCTCAGATTGCTTAAAAATTAGTTTCAGCCTATAAAGCACAAGGGATACCCAGGTGGCTCAGTGGTAAAGAATCCACCTGCCAAAGCAGGAGCTGCAGAGGATGCAGGTTCGATCCCTGGGTCGGGAAGATCTCCTGGAGGAGGAAACGACAACCCATTGCAGTATTCTTGCCTGGAAAATCCCACGGACAGAAGAGCCTCGCGGCTACAGCCCACAGGGTCTCAAAGAGCCGGAGAGAACTGCGTGCGTGCACACACACACACACACACACACACAGGGGAAGGGAAGCTGATCCAGCAAAACCCCAGTGTACACATAGAGAATGCCTTCACAACAGCAATGAGCCATCTGCAATTTAGAACCAGCCACGGTGACAATCTCTCATTCCATTTGTTTATGTTTTATTCATCATTTTGAACATACTTAGTCAAGTGACAATGATGAGATTCAAAAAGTACTGCACAGCTTTTTTTTTCCCTAAAAAAAAGAGATATTAATGGCTTTCAAGAGCTTAACTGTTCAAATGAAAATATTGCTGCATCCTATTATATATAGGATGGATAAAAAGATCCTACTGTATAGCACAGAGAACTATATTCAATATCCTATGACAAACCATAATGGAAAGGAATATGAAAAAAATGTATATCTATATATTTGAGTCACTCTGCTGTATAGCAGAAATTAACACAACATTGTAAATTAACTATACTTCAATAAAGTTTTCTTAAAAAAGAAAATATTGCTGAACTAAACTTGTCCAAATTTGTTCTCATCTTTTCTCTGTGATGTAAATTTCCTGTTTCACAGCAAAAGTCTTGTGAAGATAACATAGGACATCTCATAGTTTTCCTTGTTTATATTTTTAAAAATTTAAAACAAATTTATAAAAATTTATAGCAAAATTTATTTAGCTACAAGATTAGACCTACAATAACATAATAAACTGCAGCATTACATCTTGGAGGAACATGTTGTCATTTCTCAAGACTACAGTTATATACTAAGGCTCAGATGCATAGTCTCTAGCTTACATATTTGGCAAAAAACAAAGCTTTGACCTGCAAACATGAAAAAAAGATAAGGCCAACTTAGAGGTGTCCACGGCTGAGAAGACACAAAAACGGTTGACAGTCGCCTCTGTCATTCAGATAACTACAAAGAAACCTCTCTCTACAAAATTTAGTAAGCCTTTAAGACAAAATGTACTAACAGTGACATGATACACCTATTTCTACTAGCTGACTTCATATTTGTTTGGTTTTAAATGCTAATCTTCATTTACTTCAATTTGTGGAGTATTTTCAAATAAGTGTGTTAAAGGTGTTAGTCACTCAGTCACATCTGACTCTGCAACCCCTGGACTGTAGCCAGTGAGGCCCCTAGGTCCATGGAATTCTCCAGGCAAAAATGTTGGAGTGGGGAGCCATTCCCTCCTCCAGGGGATCATCCCAACCCAGGGATCAGACTCAGGCCTCCTGCATTGCAGGTGGAATCTTTACTGTGTCTGCCACCAGGGTGGCCCCATTTCAAATCTGGCTACCTAATACCTTCATTCTTGTTTCTTTTTAAACAAGCATACTTTGTAAATACAGTTCTTTATTAGCATAAATGTCATTCATTTTTCTAGTAAACATTTACTTAGGAAATATGATTTACTGTGTATGAACTTTGCCTTCCAACAACCTCTAGTTCCCAAGGGTAGGGCAAAGGTGTATGCACACACACACAGTCTCAGGATCTTAATAATTAATGCAATTAATCTGTACCACTTAACTAGCTTATGAGATGGATAATCTATCATCTCATTTTACTGGTGAAGAAACAGGGTCCAGCATCTGTTGTATTTTAAATATAAATTTTCTCCCTATGATTTCATTCTGTATATTAGAAACTGAATCATCAGAAATTCTTTACTATTTTTTTTTTGAGAAACAGGTTTGACTTTATTAATTTGGGCTAAACCACAATCTTCTGAAATTATCCCTCAGAGTGAAACTTCAAGGTGACCTCATTTACTGTTAACAACTAGACAAGAAAAGACCACAATAGTTTAACTCCTCCAACAAGTGGACACTTTGGCCAAGGCAGCCTTTTCTGCATCTGCCCCTTCTTTGTGGGCAGTTCTCGGGAAAGCCCACAAAGAAGAGGCACTCAGTGGCCTTTCCTTGGTTTTCCCAGAGCCAGCCTGCTTTCGTGTGCAATTGTGCAAGCCAGAAGGCTGAGCCGAGGAACAAAAGGGAGATAATTGTCAACCAGAAAATTCTCAAGACCTGTGCGAAGGTGGAGATTGCTTCAAGCCATCACAAGGCCATTAGCAAGCACAGAGTCGAGGACGAGGAAAGACAGGAAATGAAAAGGCATCAGATTGATAGCAAAACAAACGCTGACAGAAACTGTGCCCTATTTTCTAGGGCTCCTGCCAAAAATACCCTGTGTGGCTCCAGGACAGACTTCACAGTAAAGGGTACATGTGAAGCCGTACAATAAATAGCACACATATTTCATCGGGCAACCGCGTGACCACTTACCATAGGCAGTTCTCCCCTGGTCCAGTTCTTGCCTGAGTCTGCTGTAAGCTTCTTTCACACTTCCCAGCTTTTGGACGTTCCTGGAGCTCAGTACCAACAGCTTGTGGAGAAGTCCCTCCAGCCCTTCCCTCTCCAAAGTCAAAGATCTGATCTCCTCCGTCAGCTCCTTGGCTGTACGGAAATGGCTTCCTGCAGTGCATTGTGGGAGAGAAGGTGGGAAAACAAGCATTAGAGCATCCCTACACACGGAAGATGCAGCCATAGCTAAGCTGTACTATCAGCAAGAGTCCTGTGGACTGCAAGGAGATCAAGTCTGTCAATCCTAAAGGAAATCAACCCTGAATACTCATTGGAAGGACTGATGACGAAGCTGAAGCTCCAATATTTTGGCTACCTGATGCAAACAGCCGACTCGTTGGAAAAGACCCCGATGCTGGGAAAGATTGAGGGCAAGAGGGGAGGGGGTGACAGAGGACAAGATGGTTGGATGGCATCACCAACTCAATGGACATGAGTTTGAGCAAACTCCCGGACACAGTGAAAGACAGGGAAGCCCGGCATGCTGCAGTCCATGAGGTAACTAAGAGTCGGGCATGACAGCAACTGAACAACAAAAAGAATAACCATGTGAGGCGAGGAAACTGAAATTTGCAGCTATGTGCAACTACATAAACAGTCTTCTGTGGAGGGATTTGGAAGCACGCCGACAGTCCTCCTAAAACTAGAAAAACTTCCAGTCACTTTTTCACCTTTTCTCATTGTATTTTGTTTTGGAGGTTCCATTGATTAATTCATATCCTTCTGAAACACAATGACACAAAAATGTCCCAGTGAAAGCCAGGGAAGCTACATGGTATCATTCCATTCAAACATCCAAATGTCAAAGAGGTAAAATATTACAGTAGGGTGGAAAGCAAATGGGCCTTAGAGTCAAACTAGACTGAAATTCAAATCACACTCCCCTGGCAACTCAAACCATGACCTGGAGCAAAAAAATTAGCATGTGGAATTTCAGGACAATCTTCTTACAGAATATGATTGTGCTAATACCTGCATTAGAGATGGCTGCAAGAATAAACTTGAAATTCTATAAAATTCTGAGCAAAGTAAAAGGCACATCAAATTTATCAAGGGTGAAAGAATCCAGGTTAATAGATGGAAATTAATTGTATTTCTAAATACCAGCAGCAAACAATTTGAAGATGAATTTTTAAAATACTATGTATATTTTAAAATTCAAAATACTTAGGGATAAATTTAAAGAAACATGAGAAAACTTCTATAACAGAAAACCATTTTGAAACTTCTGAGAGATCTAAAGAAGAGTTAAATAATTAGAAAGATATATCATATATACATATATTAGAAAACTGAATACTGTTAGGGTTTTCATTTTCCTCAAATTGATCTATTGATTCAATACAACTTCAATCAAAACCTCATATGAGTCATTTTTAGAAATTGAAGAACTTATTCTAAAATATAAAAGGAAATGCTGAACCAAAGCAATCATTAAAAGGTAGAACAGAGTTAGAGGACATCTGCTGCTTGATTTGTTAACACTGAAGTTACAGTAAATGCAGACAGTACGGTACTGGCATAAAGACAGACAAACGGCTCTAGGGAACAGAATAGACAGTCTAGAAGTGGACCCACACTCACAGAGTTAAGTGATTTTCAACCACAGTGCCAAAACAAGTCCATGAGGAAAAAGGAATGCTTTCAGTGGAATACTGGAACAAGTAGCGACCTACCTGGTGAAAACAGTAACCTTGATACATACCTCAAACCATACACAGAATTTAACTAGAGATGGATCACAAACCTAAATGAAGAAGTGAAACCTGTAAAGCTTCTAGAAGATATAGAAGAATATCTATCTAATTTTGGGGTCAGCAAAAATTTTAGAAAGGACACAGAAAATATTAATTATAAAAGAAAAATGGATAAATGGACTTCATCAAAATTAAAAACCTCTACTTCTCAAAAAATACCATTAAGAAGATGCATAGGCAAGCCATAGACAGGGAGAAAATATTTATAATATGTATATCTGATGAAGCACTTGAGTCCTGCAACTCAATAACTAAACCACAAATAAACTGACTGGCAAGTGGACAAATGATGCCACAGACACATTACAAAGATATACACATGGCCGAGAAGCATATGAAAAAGTGTTACCAGAAAAATGGTGGAGATTGAAATGTACAGCCATTTTGAGAAAGGTTATGCCAGATTCTTATAACCTCAACATACACCCATCCTGTGATCCAACAATTCCACTGCTAGGTATTTACCCAAGAGAAATGAAACACATAAGCAAAACTTCTGGACTCAGATGTTCACAGTCGCTTTACTCACAACCCCAAACTGAAGACAATGGAAACATCCATCAGTTGGAGAATGCACAAAAAGTGATACATCTACACATCAGAAGACCACTCTCCAAGAAAAAGGCATGAACCCTTCATATATTCAGTGACACGGAAGTATATCCAAAAAAGACACAGAAGAGTGTACCCTACATGATTCTGATGATATTAAATTCTAGAATGTGCTCACTCAGTTGTGTCTGACTCTTTGCGACCCCATTGACAGCAGCCAGGCTCCTTTGCCCTCCACTATTACATGGAGTTTGCTCAAATTAACATCCACTGAGTTGGTGATACTTTCTAACCATCTCATTCTCTGCCATCCCCTCTCCTCCTGCCCTCAATCTTTCCCAAAATCAGGGTCTTTTCCAATGAGTCGGCTCTTAGCATAAAGTGTCCAAGATGTTGACGCTTCAGCTTTAGCCCTTCCAATGAATATTCAGGGTTGATTTCCTTTAGGACTGACTAGTTTGATTGCCTTGCAGTCCAAGGGATTCTCAAGACTCTTATCGCACATCACAGTTCAAAAGCATCAATTTTTTGGCGCTCAGCCTTCTTTATGGTCCACCTCTCACATCAAGGACCATTTGAGTCCTAACTGTTGACATAGATTTGTAAGATCAGGAAAGCACCAGCATTTAAAACTTGAAGAATAGTGTAAGCAGCTTGGCAGAAAATCCTATATAGAAATTAGATCACTCTTGGAGGAAGAAAGTTACATCACCAATAGCCACACTGATGCGGAGGATGATAATGTGTGAAGAAACAGGAGTCTTGACTTGAGTCAAACTGTGTATCAGGACACTAAGTCTGAACATGAAACATTTTAGAAAAACCTTAACCAATTCATTGCCCTTATATTTTTCTTTTTAAAGCGTGATATGTGACTTTTCAAAAGCTTAAGTACATCTAAAAGAACTATTTCAATAAGTATAAGCTAAAAAGTCTAAGCCACAGAAAGCATTGCATCATTCTTTAATTGACAGCAATCTTTCTTTCTTAGTACTATATAAAATAATGGTTCATTTTATGTTCACTAAATTACATGTTGTTATCTCTGCTTTACCGTGGAGAAAACTGAAATCTAGAGAATTATATATGTTGCTGAAGGTTCCATAGCAGTAAAATGCAGGGCAAGTTTCCAACTCAAATATAACTCCAGAAGTCTCCAGAATAATAGACTGTGCTATTTATTTCTTCATTCTGATTATTTAATAGGCAGATTTCAATATTATATAAATATGGAAAAGGTTACAAAAATTTTTTCCATGTTAGGGCATTCTGAATACCCAAAAAATATCATTTCTGTTACTGAAATCCAGTTTCCGATTCCATGACTAGATAAATATCTTTTGAGACTATTTATTGTCTATCACTGTGTGGGCAAATACAGAAAAGAACAAGGCACAGTCCCTGCTCTCCAGGAAATTATCTTGAATAAAGGGGATAAAATGGGGACTTCCCTGGTGGTCCAGTGGTTGAAGCTTCGCCTTCCAACGCAGGCAGTGCGGGTTTAATCCCTGGTGGGGAGTTAAGATCCCACATGCCTCATGGCTGAAAAACCAAAACATTAAAAAAAAACAAAACAAACAGAAGAAGCAATACTGTAACAAATTTAATAAAGACTTTAAAAGTGGTCCATATCAAAAAAAAAAAAGGCAAATATTCACTAGGAGGGTTCATGGAAGGGAGATAACTACAGAAAGGGAAATGGAGGCAGGTTCTCCAGGAAAGAATGTAAGGTTTCTAAAGAGGAAATGGGAACCTGGTTAAGCAAACAGCCTCATCTTTGGCGGGAGGTGCATGACTGAGGTGGAGCCTAGAGCAGTCAAGAAGTTGGTGGAGGCCCCAAATGTCAGGCCAGTGGGTTCAGAGCACTTAGGAAAAGCAAAGTCCTGATAAGGAGAGCAGGCTGGACTCCACAAGCTTTGGGTTGTAAATGGAAACACAGTTAAAACTTTTCTGGATCCATGACTTCTATCTGAAAAATGACCAGTGAGGGCCGCTGCTGGTGAAACCCCCCATGAAGAGCCCCAAAGAAGCCAAAGGACCTGCCTCAGAGGTGTGGTTGCCGATGAACAATGCAGTCCCAGCACATGCGGGGCCTTCAAGTTCCCTTCTCAGCCTGGGCTGACGGAGCCCCCACCAACACCCCAGACCTAACCCTCACCCTCACTCTCATCCCGTTGAGTCATATTCTCAAGTCTACAGAGTTAATAAAATGTGGGGTAAGCACCAGCTGGGCCCCAGAGACTCCAGGCTGAAGGTGCCAAGTATGCAACTTCCTCCTGAGAATAGTTCAGAGAGAAGACCTCTCAAAACAAACAAGAAGAGACTACAGAGATGAAGTGAGTGCCAGTATGCAAGGTGTCCTGGAAATACATCATCAGGCCCTCCTGCAACTCATCACCAGCTCTAGAGACCAAGGCCTTAATAAAACATGAGAGAAATCACTAATTAGGAACCTTCCTTGATCTGAAGGGGTATGGCTTGGGAAAATGCAGAGTGATGTGCAAGTTTTATATACACAGAATGAGTGTGAATTCCCAAAGAGACAGTCAATATCAAAACCCATGCCGTGAGAAAGCACGACAGTGCCCTTGGTTAATATTTCATAAGCATTTTGGCCTCAGATCCAAGCCCAGGAGGTGAATCTGGTTTGAGGCAGCCCTCCCTGATTGCTGAAACTGGCGAGAGTTTTTAGATGAAAATTGAAAAAAAGAAATGTTGATCCTTAAAAGAAGTTCCATAAGCGACCCAGTGACCCCAGTCTCCATCACCCTGATGGGCCTTCCCTAAAGCCAAAGGGAATCT